GTGCGTTTCTATCAGTCTTCCTACCATTATGACCAAGTTGCGAAAACAAGGTCAAACAACTTCTATTAATGATAGCATGTTTCGTAAATATGTGTTCAAATTCATATCAGACTGTATTTTTGCCCTCGTAATAGCATTAAATCACGCCCGGAGGCAGCTCAACCCAAGAAACGCAGTTTCAGAAGCAGACCAATTACATTCTTTACTACACACTATGGAAAATGTGTAGGAGTGAAATTTTGCAGCCAAAGCAAATCTTATTTCTATGCCTTATTACAGCAGTCAGATAATTGGTTGGAATTTATTCTAACAACATGAATTCCTGATATCTTCGTTTTCAATATGTTCATATTAAAATTTTAAAAAGCCTACATTTGGTGTAATTATAAGTTGGAAGTCATATAACAGCATTCTTAATTGATTATTTAAGGCTTTAACCACCTTTTCCAAAATTAAATTGATGTAGAATATTTCAGTCAATTGTAGATACTTCTACTTTCATAAGATTCGTCAAAAAGAATTCATTGGGCGCCACGTTCAGATTTGAATCACAGGCTTATTTTTTTGTTAAAATTTCAAATATTTTGGATAAGCACCAATGAGACTCTGTTCTGAATCATCTTCTTCTTTTTACCTTCTATCCTCCCACCATTCGATATTAAACAGTGTATACATTTTATTTCTTTTTCTTTTATAAGAATGCTTTCGAGACGCATGCATACAGCTCATATATATAAATTTTATTAAATTAGTTTGACCTTGTTTTCGCAACTTGGCCATATTGGAAGAAAGACTTATGAGAACTAACTTTGTCCGGAGTCCCCAGTATTCACGATAATTTCTAGAGTCGGACTGTGGACTTGATACAAGACGATTCGCTGACATCGAAGTTGAATCCGTCCAGGCCTAGCACCACATTTTAACTAGTCAAAGAGTCAAATGAAGCCAATAGTTTGACCAATTGTCTTCTAAATATTTATGGTATCTCTCCTTCTGTCCTGAGCTATCCAGCTATACTATATTCTCGTACCACTCCTTCAATATCACAATTCCTTACTTGTTTATCTAAACCCATTTGCAACCTATCCACACAACCCACAAGTTTCCACATCTATAGTGTTGATCCAAAGCTGTAATTTAATTTGCAATCCTCTCCTTTCGGGTCCCATCAGAGTCATTCTCTTGCTCTGTAGGTTCTTTTCCGTATTTGCCTGTTTCAATGATTTCATATTAAGGTAGAGTTTCGAGACTACAAGTAAATCAGTAATATAAGATGTATTCAACCTTTTTCGTCTAACGTAATAAAGGACTGGTAGTAAATTTTTTCCACAATGATATGAGTTGAACTGACTCATATCATTGTGGGAAAATTTTACTACCAGTCCTTTATTACGTTAGACGAAAAAGGTTGAATAAATCTCATATCAATGATTTTACTTCATTGCTTCCACTATATCCGTCCTACTCGAGGCGTTAGGTTCTACACTCTCCCTCAAGCCCTTGATACCACTTACACACCAGCCTCACTGAACAAGTTGGGATTCTCAGTTGGCATAGCAACCAAAGCTGAGGCTGCAGATGCCCTTATGAATTTGCGGCATGTGCAGAGTAAATCTCATGGTCAAGCCTTTACTTTATAACAAACTATGAGCAAACTTCATACTTTAATATGAGCAAACTTGTCTAAGAATAGTTAAATATCAATGTTCACCACCATTTCTCACACTCTCATGACTTTCTTATGCACAAGTCTCTTGCGTGCCGACCCAAAATGCGGTTGATCCACTTAATTTGAATAGACTCATCGTTGACGTCTCCTCTTGGTTTCCGATTCTTCCTCTCTGGATTTATTGTAACTTATACTACTAAAATAAAAAATGTTACCCTTGTCCAGTCGTCTTCTTTCTGCTGATATTGCTGTTACCTGATCTTCTCCGAGTTCGCGTAGGCAGTATGCAAATTTTCGCTAATCCTGCCTTATTCAAGTCTCATAGTCACTAGATTTCTTTCAGTCAGGATATCGATGGCTTCCCGTATCTTGCGTTTTCTTCTATTTTCACCATATGCAGCCAGTCTTTCTGTCGATTTTCAGTCTATTTCAAGTCGATTTCGTCTCCCATCCGGACATTGTGTTCCACTTTTTCGCGATCTTTCATTATGTATGTTTATACTGAGTCTTTGGTGTTCCTTGATTCGTAGACCCATTTTTCTTCCTGTTTCACCAATAATCTTCTGCTAAGAGTTGCCGCATTTGGTGCAACAGCCTCCCATGCAATCCATTTGTCAACCTTCTCGGGTTGCGTTGGCAGGCTGGCGAAGAGTGTTGTTGAAGTAGCTTCCCTTTCGCTTGAAGAAGCGAGTCTGGGGGTTTGCCTTGGAGCTGTGCTTGTAGATTTGTTCGAATAGATCCTCGGCGTACCGCCCTGCAAACCCCGATGAATCCTTGTCGAGCTTTCCTCCTTCATTCCTGTAGAAGATGCCATACAAGCCCTGCAATCCACAATAGACCAACATGCAGAGATTTTAATGAGCACGAAGTTAAGTAAACGGTCAATAATGATACTGAACAACTGTACATAGTTTACCTTTATTGGTATACTGTACGTACAAACATGAGGTTTAACTATGGAATCATGTTTGTAACCAATTTTAGCAAATAATTAATTGCTCAATTTGAGGAACGCTTAATTCGGGAAGCACCTTTAGTTTCCAAATTATTAGTTCAGTATATGGACGACTATTATGCGATTTGGTAACATTGCAAAGAAAACCAGGAGAATTTTCTTGGTTTAATGAACAGGATCGATGGGAAGATGAACTTCACTATCCAATTAGAAAAGGAAGGGGATTTACTTTTTCTTGATGTCCTAGTTAGCAAAGAAGGTAGAGGTTTGTGTATAGGAAGACCACAAATTGAGATTTCCTTTTGAATTTCATTTTAAACCAAACTAATGGGGTTAGAGTAGGGGTTATGAAGTCTATGATACTAAGAAGCCTGAATCTGGCAGTTGCTAAACATCGGGACTAGGAATTGAGAAAACTAAGGAAATATCTGGTTGAGAATAATTTTAGAATATTGTCAAATTGGATGAAGAGAAATACATATTTGGGGCTAGATAAAAGGATAGATCAGTCTACCAGGATCCTTATGCTGTCATCGTGTAGTCTGTCGATGAATATAGGCGAATTACTGAAGAGGTGGGACATCAGGGTCATTTATAAAGAGAAAACAACACTATCCTCGATATTGTCTTCTTTTCGAGAATGCTCTCATCAGCTCTCTAGATCGGGCTGTTGCAAGATTTTGTAGTCATGTGGTAGTGCCCATGTGGGAGAGACCTGTGGACCCATACATAAGAGGTTATCCGAACTCAAAACAGTCTGTAAGGGTAAGCTGGTACACAAATTGGGAATTGGCCGAACACATGGCTCGCACAGGACACCAGATAGATTGGTCTAACGACAAACGCTTAGCTGGATATGGAGACAATACCAACCAGTAATCGCAAGATTAGGGAGGCGATAGAGATCAACAAAGCAGTCAACAACATGAATAGAAGGAATGAGTGTAGGAAGTTAATCGGAAACTATTTGTAGCTGTTGGATAGGTTAGAATAGAGAGACGGAGGGAACGAGAAGTACCACAGGGCAAGAGGAGGAGGCTTGATTCGGCTCGACTCTGGTGTTGGCTCTCATATCACACTCATGCGAAGAGCAATGCATTCACACAACACGTGTGTAATGGGACATAATCACATGCGGTAAAATTGGGGGATCAAAGGCATAAGTGCTTTAGAAGAGGATGCAGCTGTTCGGTTTCAATTGCACCCATTTCACGCTTCATCTGCATCCACTTCCCATGTCATCCACAGCCTCTTAACTTAACTTATGAGCAAATATAAAGGCAAACCATATGACATCCAACCAAAGCATGAGATGCATAAATTGACCAAATTGAAATATAAGAAGGAAGTTTGTCTGAAGCCGGCCACCTTTCTTGCTTTCATATTTTTGGTGAATTATCGTTAAGCATATTGTCCTGCTTTGATGATGTGCGTCACATGACGGACGAAAGCTCAGCAAGGCTTCATCGAGGTGGCAGGGCTGTGCGCCAAGAACCTATTCGCACAAATCTACAACAACAGCTCAAAGTCAACCCCCACAGCCTCTGGTGGAACCAACCAACGAATTCCTTCAATTCGCCTATTCAAACAAATTGTAAGGTACTCCAACAACAATTGAATAAGGGATGCTTCGAAGCCCAATTTTTATGCATACCTACGAAAAGTGCTGTCTTTTCTTTTGCTTTACATTGATATTAAATTTTCTTAGCAACGGTCGCAATTTTTGGCTCAATTCATAAGAGGGCAGACATATCCACTTTTGGTCGTCCTCCCGATTCCTTATCTTATTTTCATTAAATTTTTGCTTATATCTGCTCTTTAGGACCCCTATATTTATTTCTATAACTTCTCTTGTGTATCCGTTACAAAGACAAACTTGAATTAGTTACAGAATTCAGTGTCCGTTAGTCTTAAGCTTCTGATGATGATCTTCAGTCTGTAATTTTGGCGAGAATGGAAATTGAGGATCATTCTCGCATGTGATTTCTTTCTGAATAGTCTTCTCTCGAGTATTTCGTTGGAACGAAGGAGCTCAACATACAGGACGGGTGGTCGTTTATCTTCCTCCACCTATATTTCGAATTTAATTCATTCATCAAGTTAGTTAAAAAATTGAGGAACTCATTCCAATTTTTCTTACCATACGTCAAAAGTGAATAGTAGTCGTTCCGGTATCACATAAGCACTCTTGGTTGCAGCGGTGGCTTCTCTCACTTCTTCGCCAATTTGTCCATGCCAGCATTTTCCAAAAGAGGTGAGAGTGTAGATCGCATCGGTAGTAAAAATATTTGCTCATAGATATTGCCGTTGAATGGCACACAATACAACAGTTAAATAAGTAATTAAAAAATTGCGATAGTGAATGGGTGGTACGAAGATATAGGATAGGTACAAATCCCTGGACAGGTGAGATACTAGAACTGTTTAGCAGACAATTGATCAAGGAAGCGACTTTACTTGTCTCTTTTGCGAGTTGTAGTCTAGTGCTAAGAATGGAAAAGGCTAAATGACGATGTCGACTACGATTCTGGTGAAACGTCTTGGAATATACCAAGTCCACGGTCTGACTGAAAATTATCATGCATACTATGGACTCCGGTCAAGGTGCGTTCCTTTAGGTCTTCATGCCAATATGACAAAGTTGCCAAAATAAGGTCAAACAACTTTTATGCTACGAAAGGATACCGCGACTATACAAAAGTTCTTCATACCTTTGATTATAAATTTCATTGTTTGACACTTAACTGTTAAAATATCACTCACTTCTTGTCAAGCGAATAAGATGGTATATTTTTATTTGATACAAAAACGTTTTTTTAAATACGGAGTTGGTGAAAAAGCATTATTACTTATTGCTAATCACACCAGACTTTTCATGAAAAGAGAAATAAAAAACCATCTTACATTGAATACTCCACGCACAAATCAAAATTATCATGCCTAGAATTATGTATTTATGACTCAAAGGAATCAAAATATATCTTTTAAAATACACTAAAATTATATATTCTTTTATATTATGCTTCGATTTGCACATATGCCTTCAACCATAATCTGGTTTTAGTAGACATCCTTTACTTGAGTCTCGCTTCAACGCCGGTATCGTGCCCTCCTGATGCCAACAATCGTGTATAAATACTTCACCTCTTTAGAAACTTTGAGCAAAATATGCCATATCAAACAAAATAGGGAAGTGATTCAATGGAGTTCGAGGTAACCATATAAGTTCTATTCAGTACCTTTGAATCATTTAATGACGTTGCTGATTATTAATTGAAAAAGCGCCTATTCGTCGCTGACAAACATTTGCTACTCTCAATAATAATAATAGGAAGATAAACTCCTTAGCTTGCAAATCACTTGGGCCCTCCGCATTTATGAATTTTGACCATTGGGTTTTGTTACACCATGTGCTTGATTTGTTTCTGCCATGAAGTCTAGATGATAGAGCTGTATGAAATAATGACCGATTTCCTGGCCGCGGATTAACAGATAAGCTCATGGGAATCTTTATTCTAATTAAACAATTCACACATCTCATTTATGGGACTTTCATGTGACGTTAATAGTTTACGACAAGTTGAACATCCTTGAATTAACCAGCAAAGTGATAGGCACCATTATTTAGAAGAAGCATGCACAGTCTGAGTGATTAGTTCGGTCTAGTGATTGCTTATGTGAAAATGAACAAAGTTACTTTATATAGAGATTCATTTCACAACAGTTTGGCTCAGTCCCCTGCTAAAATTATAGTCTGCACCAAATAAAATTAGTATCACTTCTAGCGTTTTGCATTTTAAATGGATTAAAATTAAAACCACATCTGACCTCTATTTGATTTTTACAATCTTTAAAACTGCTACTGTTCACATTTTAGTGGGCTACCTACATCGTTTACACCCTATACCCTATTTTAGACAAGTTAAAAGCAAGAATTAAAAATGCATGGATTGTCTCATTAGTATTATTTAGCGTCTTTGGCAACCACAATACGCTCATCTACCTCGTAGTACGAATTGTTATCGTCCCTAGGTTGAAAATACACAACCACCTTATTTGATTGTGATGGTTGCTATAGTGCTCAGGAGAAGACAGGACAATAAGAACCTTATAATTCAACTTGTTATGGCCTTGAAAGCCAAGTGAATAATCAATAGCAAAATTGATTCCCTCAGCCTCGTTTCAGGATAATAATTAGCTTTCAAATAACAATAAGATTTGCGTACTTATCTATCTAACCTTGACTTTACCCAATATCCAATAATACACTCCACTACATTATCCACCCTTAATTGTTATTGCTAGAATAGCCCTTATCTCAAGGCGATCTAGAGATACTTTATCTTATTTGGTAATACTTCGGACTGCATTCAATTCATTGACAAAACCTACGCTGTTAGAATGTTGTGCTTTCGATACAGAACGAGTGCAGAGAAAAAATGTGGAATGGTGATGAATTTAAAATGCTCAATCTTTTTATGCTGTAATCAACTGCTGAATTCTTCCTATAAACTCCATATGAGCACGAGAAATCACGTTTATCTCAGAAACTAAGATGATATAATCCCCTATATTAAACATTTAAATAAACTACCCGAGTAAAAAAAATAGCTTTTAGTGCTCGACTTTCTCGATCACTCATATTTATGGCTTTGAGAGATGAATAGTAAAATCATCCAAAGCAAAACCTCATTAAAGCTTCTATCAAAAATGCCTTAAGAGCAAGCTGAGAGCAAAATTATTCGAACGCATTAAACATTGCATCAAGGAAAACATTCCAAGACTTAGTGGGAAACTCAGGAACTGATCCAGATCATGATTATCAACCGAGTATATGAAGG